GCAAACTACTGGACGTAAATTTGCCTAGAAAAGCCACAACAGCCAGAAAGTGCTGGAGTGGGATTTGCAGCGGCATGTAAAGGATACGCAACTTAAAAAAAAAAAATGCGTTCTATTATATGAACATAACTTGCTTTCTTAATTAAATACAACTGCTGTATAAAAGATGGGTGTTTGGAAGGGCCTAATATAGGACGGGTCTGTATGCCCAATTTGTGATCCTTTGAAAAGTTCATTCGTTCGTTCGTTCGTTTGTACACGTAATATTAAGGTTCTGGAGCAAGACTACATGCCAGAGATGGACGAACAACCAGAACTTTCCGCCGGAGTTTACAGCCAGTGATCACGGAGTAGAAGAAAGAAGAAAGAAGAAGAAGAAGAAAGAAGAAAGAAGAAGAAGAAGAAGAAAGAAGAAAAAAGAAGAAGAAGAAGAAGAAGAAGAAGAAGAAGAAGAAGAAGAAAGAAGAAGAAGAGGGAGGAGAAGAAGAAGAAAGAAGAACTTTCTCATACATTCTCATCTACCTCTCGTGCTATTTTTCTTTCGAAAATTTCATGTGTATCGGTTGCATCGCCTTAATCTTCTTCTTCGCGTTCACCGGATGTGAATCTGACAGAAAGTTCTGGTTGCTCGTTTACTTCTAAAATTTAGTCTTGTTCCAGAATCTGAGTGCTATGTGCATATTCACTTTACATATCTGACTTATTTGTGTGCAGACTGTTGGTTCCTTGCCGTACAGGCAGACGCACTCCGACTTCAAAGGAAACCTCCTTTTAGTGGACACGTACAAAATGCTTCTTAGGGAGTCAGTCTCTACTTGTTTCTTCCCACAGGACTTTCATGGTTTGAGATATCAACTAAAAACACAGTCATCAGTATTTGTTTTTTTTTTTTTTAAATATTTCTACCCATAATTTTGTTCTTGAAAACAAAACAGAAAACAGTGCTTCAGTTTCATAATTATTTTATTACTATTAACATTCGCGGATTCAAAACAACCACAACAACAACAATGCCAGGAGAAACAGATGAAAATACAGTGTGTAAATAGTGTATATGCCTAGTCTACAGTGATCAGTGCAGACCATAAAAACTCCCACGTGATCGTTTTGATCGTCATTAACTTGGGACTGACGTACGGATTCTGCCACAAATTCACCAGGGGTGAAGAAATAAAAAAATTTATGGGCAACCACTTTTAACAACACTTGTAAGACAAAGATGATAGTGCTATACTGAACAAGTCTTGGAAGAGACGAGCATAGGATCACTAAAGAGGTACTAAAGTGATAAATAAAGTGACTGAGAAAGCAATGATGTTCAAAACAAACATTAAAACGAAGATGGGTAAGAGAAGCTAAAGGTGCTGGACTGGATTCCATATATCATACCAAGGGAATTGCACAGCCAGGAATGGAAAAAAGGTTTACACTGAGATCCCTATGTTACATGCAGGTGGAACCAGGTGCGGAAAATTTCCTGTCAAACACCCCTCATTTCCCCCCCCCCACCCCTCCCCCCCCCCCCCCCCCCCCCCCCTGGTGATATATTCATAATATTAAAAAGACATACCCCCCCCCCCCCCAATCCCTGGTGATATATTCATAATATATAAAAGACATACATGTTTTGTCACTTTGTTAAATTATCTCTTTTATCCCCCACCCCTTTCTGCAGCACTTAGCGATGACACCCAAGGAGGACGGCAACACCCTCTCCCCCCCAACCCCTCCCCCAACCCCTCCCCCCCCCCTCCCCCCCAAACCTCTTCCCACTCTCAATCCTACGCCACTGCATACAATGGCACACACGGAAAATAATGATGATGATATGTATATCATACATATTCATACAATGGCACACACGGAAAATAATGATGATGATATGTATATATATATATATATATATATATATATATATATATATATATATATATATATATATATATATATATATATATATATATATATATATATATATATATATATATTATATATAGCATACATATTCATGGCCTTTGGATGAAGTTTAGCGCTTGGATAGGGCAAAGAGATGAAGTTGAGAGAAAGTAAACAATGAGTTTGTAATCGCCTGCTATGGGAACAGTTAGCATTTACACCATAAGACATTTGCTGCAGGAGACGGAGCATCTTAGTAATGCCTGGTGGGCCAAGATTTCGATTCTTCAATCATAAATTAGTAAGTGTACGTTGAGAGAAAAATATGTAAAGACTAAAACAACAGTACGAAAATATTCAGCCAAAATTGTGAACATGGATACAAACAGTTAGTGGCAATTCTGGAAGCGTGATGTCTTCTCTAAAGAAGCCTAATTTTCATCTCTGTAAACGATAGATTGGTCCATTTATCATAATATGTAAAATGCCAAGAAATACCCGTGTTGTTGCTCACTCCCCAGGTCCCATTCAAATTGGCCATGTAACAACTGTTGTACCACCAAGCCCCGTGGTTGTTCACGGCACAGTTGTGATCGCTAGGGTCATTATCCCGGTCAAAAGTGCTGAATTTGTTGCCGTTATGATAGCTCATGCTGTCAAAGACGTTTCCGGAAAATCCACCAATCGTGATGATGTATCCAGATAACTCATCGATCAGATTGAAGTTGGTGTAGTGGGCAAAGCGCTCGATCCCATTATAGATAAAGTCAATCCGGAGTTCGTTGTAGCCCTGAAATGATTATTGGTTATTTAGTTCTACGATAGTAACCCCCCCCCCCTTTCCACGAGAAAATAGATCACGTTCAATTGATAATTTTTTGGGACTTGTCTGCTGTCCTGGGGGCTACGGGCTTGCGGCTATGTTGGTGGATGCTTTCTGGCTTGTCTTGCATTTACATTTTTCTTCCGAGAAAGAGAATGCACTCTCTATGGGTATTGTGTGTTAGACCCAGTTTCTATATGTTTTTGTTGTGTTAAAAGTGCTGGCGTGCTTAAATATACAAAACGCAATATCAATGGAATTGCTAAACACACCTGTAGCAGTGTGCGAAGGTTGGGTGACTCAGATGTGAGCAGGTATGTATATGGGCGGTCTCGAAAGGGTGAGGGTATAGTGAAACTGACCTCATAGGATATATGAATGATGGGAAATTTGTTTTGATTACTAGTGCTGCAATGTGAAAAAGCCTAAAATAGTTTAAAGGTTAAGCAGTCATATAACTGACTGTCGTTGAGGTTGAAGTGTTGTGACATATCATAAAAGGTTTGACCGCTTTCTAGTATGTCAAAAAGAGGATATCGCTACATATTAACTTCATGGACTTTTGTTTTCGTTGACACGATGCGGTGCCGATGAAATTTATCACCACCGAGGCAGTAGCTGAAGCTCTGATGTCTATATTTTCTAAGTTAGGATTTCCTGATACCATTTTATCAAAACATGGATCTCAGTTTATCTCAGAGACCATGCAGTCTTTTGACAAACTTCTATCGATCGCACACATATTTTCAGCTCATTACAATCCGAAGTCAAATGGTGTTGTAGAAAATTTTACCAGGCTCTTAAAAGCCATGCTGGCAAAAATTACAGCCGAATTTCCAGATGACTGGGATGGATATCTACCCGCTATACGTTTTGCATACAGGGAGATTCCGCAAGCCAGTACTGGATTTTCACCCTTCGAGCTTTTTTATGGTTCAAATCCAAGAGAACCTCTGTCTTTTTAAAAAAAAAACATTGGTCAGGCCAAGGCAGTGAGGGTTCTGCTGAGACATATGTAATCAACTATTGTTGGCGGAATCTATCGTCGCCTGGAGATCCCCTATATCCTTCCAAATAACTTACAGGGCTCGAATTAAATAAGTCTAGGGGAATTATAACGGTCCCTGAGTTCTGGAAAATAGAGGAAGGAGAATACAGAAAGTTAAAGGATAGGGTGAATCCCCGGAAATTTCCTAAAGAAATTCAGAAAACCAAAGTCAAAACTTTGTAAATTTAACTCAAATAAATTGCAATGAACAATCTTTAGTCTACCTAAGAAGTTAAAATTGATAGGATGAAATCGATAAATGGAGTTTCTAAATAACAACTGTATTGATAAAATACTGATATTGAATTCAACAATTTTCAAATTAACATATAGAAAATAAATCACGGTGTCATCATGTACACCACAAAACTCTGAACAAACATCAAATTTCACTCAGCTTTCCGATAGTATTGATGAGCCGAAATGTAGTTTCCTTTGGAGGAAAGTCCACTGATAACCCGGCAATTATGAATATGGTTCACGTTCTCCAAGCAACTAGGCAAACAGGCCAACCGAAATACGGAATTACGGTCCTCTGGTAACCCGGCAGGCAAGAATACGGTAACACGGGATTATGGTCCTCTGGTAAACAGGCAGGCAGGACTACGGTAACACGGGAACCTGCGGAATACATCATTCAGCCCTGTGTTAAGCATTATGTCGACACATCTGGAGCAGGTGGAGGTGTTGCGGTGTCTGTGGTGTTTTTCAGAGTAGTAAGCAAGAAATAACAAGGTTCATATGTTGTCTTTCCCTACAAGTAAATCAAAATTATACATCTCCACCCTATTATAATATGTTGGTTTATCTATCTAAATTATGGCACGATCATATAAAACTTGACATAATTAAGCGGACACACATTCGCCTGCGGATTGGACAGTTATTAGTTCGAGTCCCAAAACCCAGGTCGACTTCGCCTTAACGGACACCAGGTATAGTAATGGGAAGTAAAGGCGGCAGGTGTGATGTTGACCACATCAACACCTAGGTACCACTTGGTCTATAACACATAGGCCAACCCTATATGCCACAATGCTGACGACTTTCAACCAAATCATGGGTTGCATAATCTAATAACATAAACAATGTAATGTATACCCAACTGATGATACCACATGGCACAGGATAATGGTTTCTACTATAAGATCTTTACGCAAGTAGACCGAATGAATATAAGAGTGACAGAGGGAAGAAGGGTTCGCTATTGAATAGTCCTAACGGGGAATAGTAACTTTAAGAACGTCATAATATGTAAGGACTAGTGAATTGTCCAACGGACAAGTATCAAGGTTGATGAAGTTACGGAATATTTATACAACGGTAGAATATAGAATAGTAGGATCTCAATAAAATATTTTAGGATACAGCTAAGGCTTATAGGGGATCTCAGCTACTCCCTACCATTATAAATCTCACCTGAAATTGTATATGGTATTTTTATTGTGGGTGTTAGGCCGATGGTATGGCTGGCAATCGTTCTGTGTTGTGACGAAATTAGATCTCCTAGTAACACCACAAAACGTCATAAATTATGTGCGCCTTCGTACCTTTTTATTCTTTTAGCGTCTATGTTTAAATATATTTATTTTACGTGCGCAATTCTTTTAACTAAAACTTGCAATTAACTCTTGCCGGACTGAAATATTTCTCCCGTTTTGTCACATATGCCCCCGGAAAAGAAAATTTCAGTTACGAAATTTAAGTAGAGGAAATTTCAGTTCCCAAAGAGTTAAAATTCAAATTATTATTTTCTTGCAATATCACACATTTCATCATCCACCATGCAAATATAAAATGTATGTGTATAACATTTTAATTTTGTGGACATTGTGTCCGAATGATGTTGTTTAAAATTAAACGGAGAGTTCTCAACGAAAGAGGTTACTTCATCTTGGGAAGAGCCTACATGTATTTCACAGTGATTGCTGGAATTCCGGTGCTTATATGTGTATCTAGATCATCTCATTCGGTTAGGGCAGAATTTCGGTCATCTGACGAAATCTCCTACAAGAATCAAGACCAAGCTCGCTCGAGAACCGAAAACTTTTCAGTCAGGGAGGATTCCTAGCTAGCTAGCAAAACCTCTCACATGGCACATGTTCTCGCCCATTTGAGACCCGAACGTAAAACAAGAATTATTTTATATCATTAAGTTAAAGTCGGCAAACTAATTTAACATTTTAGTTACCTAGTGACTCAACTTTCCTTCTTTATAATAGAAGGTATCATTTATTCAGTCAGGGATGGCTGCGCTGTGCGGAGTCTCCCACAAGGATCGTGTCCTTACTCTCTTGAGAACTGAATTTGATATATACAATTCTTTTATTTCAAGAAATCATTTGACATTGATTATATTATGTGTGTATCTAGATATTGTTACCTGTTCCATGCAATATCACTACCTCAAGATTCAGTACCCCATTAGCTAAATGGATAACCCCCGTTACGGAGAACCAAACATATTCTCCTGGAATTTCTTAAGCAAGTTTATATGAAAACTTCTTACTTTCCCATTTATGGAAATGTCAAACTTTCTGCGGGAAACTTTATCCACCACAGGAAAAGGTCCCTGAAAACCAATTTCCATCTTCTCACTGACTGATGGTAACAAAAACATAACTTTATCTCCTACTTTCAGATTCCTACTTTTCACCTTTCTTCTAAAATTAGAAGTCAACTTTGCTTTAATTTTCTTCCAGCATTTTCCAACCAAGTTCCAGCCTAATTTTATTTTCGCTTTCAATTCTTCCACATATTTGGAAGTGGCTGCCACAGTCTGGTCCAAATTCTCATTCGTCCATGACTGTAACAGGGCTGACAATGGCCCTTGAATTGGACGACCAAACAACAAGGTAGCTGGAGGAACACCTGTTGTGGTATTGGGAACTTCCCTATATGCAGAGAGGGCTGCCGGAAGATATTCATCCCACATGTCTACTTTTATCTGAGACAATTCTCTCAAAAGTGTGACTAGAGGTCTAGTCAATTTCTCTGCTGTTCCCTGGTTCTGAGCATGGTACAGACTCGTAGGGATATGGCTGTTCTGGAAAATCTGGAGTACATCATCCATCAGTTTTCCCCGAAACTGGGATTTTTTATCAGTTAGGATTTGGTTAGGAAATCCTAATCTAGTAAATATTGTAATGAGAGCATCTGCAACTCTCTTGGCATCGATTGTGGGCAGCGCTACCACTTCACTCCACAACGTGCCAGCATCGACTATCGTTAGGATATAAACATTCCTCTTCCTCGTCCGAGGCAGAGGTCCAATGATGTCGAGCGCTACTCTTTGGAAAGGCTCATGCGTAATGGGCATGTCCTCCAATGTTATCGGCGGGTTTGAATGTCTCGGAGATACTCGTTGACATTCTGGACACGAGTGTACATATCTCCTTATGTCCCCCGTCATTCCTGGCCAATAATAATGACAGGAAATTCTTTGGGAAGTTGCCGCTATCCCCATATGGCCACTATATGCTAATGTGTGTCCCATATGGAGGATAGTTTTCCGGTAGGGCAAGGGAACAACGAGTTGGCCATACTCTCGTTCTGCTATCCCTGCTCTCCGATACAATAAATTTTTCTTCATATAGAAGTCTCCTCTTTCAGGAGGTTGATGGGCATAAGGCAACTTCCGGAAGCAGGACTTTAATGATGAGTCCTGTTGTTGCGCAGCACTTATGTCCTTTGGTAAAGGATTCTGGGGTTCTGGATCAGATACTGCTGATGCTTTGGTTGATGACCGGGTATCCATGGCCCCAACTAGCATAGGCGTCTTTGGAACTGCAAGATATAAATATTTGCATCCTAGTAAAACGGGAAATATTGGGTTAGGGAGACAACCCGCGACAATAGTTCCTTTTACATATTTGCAGTCAATGTTTACCTTGGCAAGAGGTAATCTTAATGTCTCAGA